GTAATCTCGAAAAATTTCGAGTATTACATTTCAACAGAAATATCTATTTTGATACTTACCAAATTCATTTTGACTATTTATGTGCGTTGCATTTGTACGTACTGACGTAATATAGGAGTGTTTTTTTTCTTAAACGGACTATAAAATGGATTTAAAATGAATACAAAATGAAATTTTTCCTGACATCTGCACGTACGTACTTACGTATGTATCTCGCATAAGTCAAAAGCTGCAGAACGGTGAAATTTTTTATGTGGGATTGTTATAACATGTAGTTATGCACCTCACTTTTAATTGCCGTTGGCAGTATTAAAAAATTATATTAAGTTTGTCTCCTGTACGACAAACCGGGATATTTCATTTTAAAATTTGCAGCTTTTGATATAATTTTCAACTTACCTTAGGAATCGGTTAGTTAAATTAGAAGATTTTGAGGAAATAAGTTTAAATGAAATACAGCAAAAAGTGTTATAATTTAATAGGTCGTACAAGGAAGTCATATGGTGCCCAAATTAGGAAATTGTAATTTGTATGAGTGACTTTCTTTTATTCGAATTCGAATTCTCGAATTCAAATAAAAGAATTTCCAGTTCTTTCTCGTGTTCTTCATATACGTAAAACGCAGCTGCAATCAAGCTACTTGCCTCCCTTTCCTTAGCATTGACATTTAGACATGGATTTCCAACTGAAGAATTTAAGTGACCAATGTCCGTAAAATTAATGCAGTCACTAGCATCCATCTGTGATTTCAAATTAGCATTGCTCAAAAGTTTGGTAATTAGTTTCTATCGCACTATTTGTAATGGTTGGTTTTCTTCATATTTCCGAAGAAAGATGATATACTGCATTTACTATTCAAGCTCAGAAAGGAATAGAATAATCAAGAAAATTTTTTTGAACCAACGAAATGTTTACTCCATTCAAGATAATTATTAACCTAATTAACTTTTATTTTTTAATTCTACTTTTTATAACGTTGTATACAAATATTTATTATAAATTAGAGGAAAATATATTAAGGAATAAAAGAAGATAGTATTAAATCAAGATACTAAGCATAGTCTGCGATGCAAGAAGTATAATACGTATGCTAAATGTGTGATGCAATATCGATGAGTACAAGCAAATCGACTTAAATATTAAAATGTTTATAGAATCGTATGTCTACCAAGCGCTTCCAGATATTTACACCTCGGCAACACATTATTTGTAGGGCACCTGTAGGAGAAAAAACAGATTTACGACGTTTACGAGCTTATGACAAAGTCAGAAAGTAGTTTAAAAACAATGCCTTGTCGAAAAGGAAAAACGTAATTGCTGAACTTAATGTTCAAATTCAGAAGCTAATTTTCTCACACACAGAAGGATAGAAGCCGCATGAACGAAACATTTTAGGGACAAAAATTATCTCAAACCTTATGTTTCACAAATAAATGCAAAATTGATATTGCAATGGTGCAAGGAACATAAAACCAGGACCATTGATCAACAGAGACAAGTATTGTTTTCAGATGAATCCTTCTCTATACTATTTTTAATCTCAGAATGATAAAATAAGCTTTATCGACAAAAGCTTGCAATCTGTCTGCTACAATACTGTCTGCTTCCAACGCTAAAACATGGCAGTGAATCAGTTATGCTTTGGTCAGTTATATCCCGAGTTGCCTCAGATCCAATTGTCATCTTTTAAGAATTAATAAATATTACTGACTATCTAACCATTTAAAGAGACCATAGTCATTCAATTTGACAAATACTCTTTCTAATGCGTCTATCAAGAACTAATACTCCCATTCACTGAAGACATTGTCCTGTAACAGCCCGGAAAAAATGAAGATTAAATTTCACATCTTCTGTGACCCGAACGATACTTAGAAGTCTTACGTCTTAGATACTTATGTCTGGACGAGCCGCTGCCATATTTTCATTCATCAGTCATACTGTGGGCAGTTGTATGCGATTTGCCGAAGATTCAATTTTCACTTTATAAGAATTATTAAACATTATTGATTGCAGACTCATTTAAGATTACCATGTTCATTTAATATCACAGATACTGTTTTTTACATCTTTCAATAAGTAATGCTTACCATTCATTGAAAACATAGTGTTCAGTAATAGTATGAAAAAAATACCAAGTTACACACCTTTTGTTACTTGCAAAATAACCAGACTTAAATATCCTTTCACCATTATAGTTTGGGATAGCATCTCTCAAAACGTTATAGCAGTTTCTGATACACCTACGAAAATATAAAATATCTATAATTACCAGAATTCGCATGCTATTATTCTAAAATGATTTCAAACAGGCTTGTGCGCGGAAGGTACTTCGTCAGTACATTAGGGCACACGTTTTTATATTTTTAAGTTTTTACTTTATTTATTTTTTATATTTGACATCTAAGTACAGAAACACATTTAAAAAAGCTTGATTATTAGGGCAGTGCCAAAAATTTCAATCATAATTATTTAGAAGCATTGAAGTCATTCATTAAAACTTGTTGCATTTGGTTTTCCTTCAACAGTCGTACACTGCGGGACAAAGAAAGGGACAGTTCTATATCTCCCATTCCACTGGGCCGATTGACGAAATTCAAATTGTGTTTTTCATGCCTCGTAAGCGCGACTTAGGATGTATATTAGATTTATATATAGCATTGTTTTAATATAGGTAATTTGACACAAAATCGGACTTTTTCTGAAATGACATGCCAATGTTTTCCCATATTTCGATACTACGACTCAAATTACTCCTAAATACTAAATTTTGTAAAGTTTGGTGCGACATTTATGGGGAAACTCAAAAATTTAACTTGGAGTAATTTTTTTCAATTTGCGCCAAGAACTTTGCTAAGGCCTTAATTCATAGCAATCAATATATTCTCCTTCCGTTTTTTTCATTACTAACGAGCTGAAATAAACTCATGGTTCATATTTTCAAATAATTTTAACAAACTGCGTAAACCACATTTGGCTTTACAAATATGCCAAATTTCAAAATGCGCCAACATATAAATTCACCTATATCTTCGGAAATTTTCAATAAAAAAACTCTAATGTAATGCATGTACTTTAAGATGATGTTAAATATTTTATAGGTTATAAATCAAAACTTTTTTCGAAAAATTAAAAAAAATATTTGAAAATAAAATTTTAAAAATAAATGATAAACAATGGGCTAATTTTATATGGAATGAACATAAATTTCGACATGTAAAAGGAAGAATAAAATAAGTTTAATAAAAAATATTAACAAATACATACCAAATTCAATTAACATTGCGGAGCTAAAATTTTGAGAGCTAATTTTTAAAAATTACTCTTGCGAATTTTACAAAACTTGGCAGTTTGGCATAATTTGAGTCGTAAAACTGAAATATGGAAAAAAATTGGCAGGTCATTTCAGAAAAAAGTCTAATTTTGTGTCAAAATACTCGTATTAGAACAATGCTTTATATAAATCTAACACGTATCCAAGTCGCGCTTTCGAGTCATGGAAAACGCAAGTTGAATTTCGTCAATCGGCGCACTAGAACGGAAGATATAAGAACTGTCCCATTTTTTTTTTCGCAGTGTACATTAAGAAAGTTTCGGTACCTCGATATGTGGCCCTTTCGACCAATATTTAACAAATTATTAATCACAAACCAAGGTCAAACGAAACCTTTCACATCTATCAGTAAATCATCTGATAAAATATAGGAAAATCTGGTGTTCTTTTCTAAATAACAATCTAAAATATTTCGAATTACTCTATTATTTTGGATCAGGTTTTTCTAGACATATAATTAGATAGCTATTACTCTGGTAATCCTAGATCATAAACACATTGTAATAATTAGAGATCTATCAGTAACAGTTGCTGCTTCTTGCCTTATGATGTATGCCCTTAAGTGCTAACCGCAGAAGAGAGATTAAAACTCATCGTATAGTGACTACATATATTTTCTGAGTTGGTGCCAGAAAAGTGTGTATTCATAATTTCGTTGAAACAAAGATAATGATTTTTAATAAATTACAGCAGCACAAAAAACGTTAAAAAAACACCCCTTTAGACATAATGTAAAATCTGAAAACTTTCAGATTTTTATTTTATTATTTTTAATATTTTCTTTGGTATTAAAAGCCACAGAAAAAAAATAGAGTCAACAGGCTCATTTCAAATCCCTGTTTAGAAATAATGAGCGTACAGACCATGTTGCACATGCGACAAACCTGAGGCATTTGTTATGAAAAGGTTGATTTTTTTAAACATCTTAGCAGTTATCTTAGTAGGGATCACGCAAATAATATTATGTCTGGTAAAAAACCATTTAATAACGTTAAGTCAGAAGTGAACAGTTACATCTTGTAAATGAGAAATTTAGAATCGATTGTACTAACCTAATATCTCTCCATTAATACTCTTTTGCTAGTTAAAATAGAATTTGTTTATATAGATCATTGTCAATGAGATATTAAACTTTACTTTATTTAGATCACAGTGAACTAAGATCTTAACTCTTTTATCGAAGTTTGCTACTAATACGTATTCTGGCAATTTTCATATAATTTATTTTCTTTTCACTAATCTACAGTTGCGTATGTACTGAGCTACGGAATTAAGTCGTCCAAAAAATATTATTCTCATAAAGCATGACAAATAATATTTCAAACAATGTAGATGCGAAAGTTTCTTTCTTCCGTAAATTTATTTCTTACGTGACATCTGCGAATTTGTAAGTTTTATTTTGTGTTGTGTTGTTCTATTTTTTTACTTACCTCTGTAAGCCTTGTGTAGTACTACATGGTGTACAAAGAATTTAAAAATTTCAATAAAAAAAGACCATAAGTAAATTTAAAATAAACAAGTAATTCACCAGTTTATCGTATAATTCAATATTACAAATTCACCACTTAAAATTAATTTGTATATTGCATAGATTAGTTGATAATTTGTTTATTTTTAGTACAAAAAGGGCTGCATTTTTTCGAAAAGGGAAAACTATACTGCCCATTTCCACAAATAATAAAATAAAGAATTCTTCCGTTTATGTGATAAAAAATAGAAGCTTTATATCCGTTAATGTGTCATCATATATTAGAACAATCGAAAAGACTGTTGTTTTTATGACGATTTACTGTTTCTACTCAGGTTGAACGGTATAAATTTCTTCTTATGATTTTTACTGTAGCAAAGGTTACATATTTCCCTTTTTCTTTCAGTCATCAAGCAACGATTTACTCCTCAAGTTCAGGACGATTTTGTGGTTCGTGGAAATACAGCTGTGCTAAAGTGCCACTTGCCTACTTTCGCCAGAGAGTATGTGACGGTCGATTCATGGATCAGGAATGATGATTATGTCCTAAAAATGACAGATACAAGAGGTATGACAATATTAAGAACTATAATAGTTAGTGTGCGATTCTGAAATATTTTGAATTTTTTAAATGTTTTCTGCAAATTTAGTTACTATAAAACAGCAGATAAGAAAAGAAATTAGCTGGTGATATCTTTTAGAAAGAATTTCATCATTACTATTAAATAAAAAGGTATTTTTGCGATAGGTCTTGTGATATAGGTTCTAAAGTATACTTTATAACATCTTGTTCTAAAATTCAAATTAAATAATTGCCATAAAGATTTAACTTTTTCCGTATCTTCAAGTTCTTTCTAATGAATAAATACAAAAAAGACTGAATGCGCATATCTGAACATTTTTTTTTTCGAAATATTCTAAAAAAGAATATACAGATCCTAGGAAAGTGGTTTCCAAATATGCAATGCTACATCTTGCTCTAAAACCAAAGATTAAATAATTGCCATAAAGATGTTATGTTTTCCCCCTATCTTTAAGTTGTTTCCTATCAATAATTACAAAAACGAATGAATATGCATATCTGAACATTTTCTTTCCAAAATAGTCTGGAAAAGAATGTATGGGCCCTGCGAAATTGGATTCTAAATACAATATATAGCATCTTGTTCTGAAACCTAAAATTAAATCATCTCGCCATACAGAGATGAGATTTTTCCCTTTTTTAAGTTTTTAACCTTAAATAAAAAATAATGCAAGTGTAAATCTAATAATTGTTTCAAATAATCAAAATTTACTAACATTCAGTGCAACAAGAAACATATTTGAAAGTTAAAGATCGATTTAAGATTTTTCAAGCTGGAAAAGAAATCCTGATTTCGGAACACTGAAAAAAATAACTGTGGTGTTGATAGTTTTGATCACCATGTTTGTACCCTAGTTTTATCATTTCATTACGCTTCATAGGTGTTGCTAACTTGACGTTCTGCTTTAGAGCCCGCAAGGATAGCATAGCTTATGCTACCATGCATATAACTAGTGACAAGTCATATTTTCTATAGAACAAAACATCAAGGCCTTTTCAGATAGGTATAAGTTAGGAATAATTATATATTTTGATTGAATGGAATAAAATTAAGTTATTAATCATTCATTATGGAATTCATTATGTAAATAATGAATTTTTGTAATCACAATTATATGTGCTACACAAATGAATATTTTCTTTGAATTTTTCACGTTGTACAGTTATTAAGAAAATGAGCAATCGCTCTAGAAAAGATATTTTTATCATAAAAAGTTTTAGCATTATTAATATGATATTAGAATTAGAGCCTTAACTGTTGCAAGTGATATGCTAATGAAGTTAAAATATATATTAAGATCTCCGTCATAAAACCATGGTTATAGTAACGCTACAAGTATAGTTCACGCTACAAGTATTATATCGAGACTAATCATAAAGACTTTTTAATTTATCACCAGCCTGAAGAGTAAAGAATTAGATGTGTTAACGATATTTGGTCAAATGTTAGAGATTTTAAAATTTATTTTGAATGTATTGAAGTTTCTTTATATTATTGTTAAATACAGGATGGTCATAAAAAACACTTCCTTGATATAGAAACCCCTAGCAGCCTATCCGCTCAACCAATTAAAGTAATCATTTCAATCAAAATTTCCACCATTGTTACTTGAAGGTATGCGTTTAAACTGTAAAGACTTAAAACAGGAGATCTCAAGTTACGGTTACAGTGAAAATATTTCAAACTTTTCGAATGGCAACACCCACGTTTTTCCCGTCCAAATGGATCAGTGCATTGAAAACCATAAATGGCATTACAACGATGCACATGCATGACGAAAATAGCCGGCATAAAAAATTCGCAAAGAAAAACATTGCAAAGGACAAATGACAGCACAAAACAGGAGAGGAAAAAATTTAATTGCAATTACAAGCTTTCAACATGTACAGCGTTTCAAAATAGAGTCATATTCCGTAACATTGTAGTTTCGTGACCATCGCGATCCCCAGACTTCACTGCAACGGATTTCTGGTTTTGGGTTTATATAAAATCTGTGGTGTGGACATCAAATCCTCAAGATTTCCTAGAATTTAAAGATGCCATAAAACGTGAAGTTATACACATTCTTTCTCTGATGTTGAATTCATCATTGTTTTAACAATCTCTCGGATAGAATGTGTTATCATCTGCGAATGGGCGCCTTGAATACTTGTAATTCCAATAAATATTTTCCCTCCTCTCCTTCCTTGCGTTGTCACTAGTCCTTTACAATGTTCTTCTTCGAAAATGTTTTATTCCGTTAATTTTTTATCATATGTGTATCGATCTAAAGCCATTTATGGATTTCAATACAATGATCTGTTTGCGCAGGAAACAAATAGAGTGTTGCCATCGGAAAATTTCAATATAGTTTCAAAATTGTAATGATAACAGTGAGAGCTCTATCGTTTTAAATCGTCACAATCTCGAGTGCATGCCTTCAAATAACAGTATCTGAAATTTCATTTGGATTGGTTGAGCTGATATGTCACCAACGATTCATATATCGGGGAAGTTTTTGATGATCAACCTGTATAATATGAAAAGGATGATAATCATGTTGATTCGGTTACAGTTTATTTGATAACGACAGCGCACATTAGAGCTATCTGCCTGAAAAAGGATGTTTACGTGGAGGAATATTTTAAAGGAAACTGACTTGTATCCCCATTACACATGGGGGGGGGACAACCACAGAAACGATCATGCATCCAGCCCGTTGTCTAGAATTAATATTACTGCTCAGAGCGAGTGGTCTATTTAGTTATTTGTTCATAAATAAAAGTAAAGCTAACTGGAATTTATTTATTTATTTATTATTATTCGTTTCATGTATCAGCATTGTGATTTTTCAAAATTTATCCAATATTTGTCCTGATGTATCTTCAAATGATCACTTCGGAAGTTTAAATTATGGAATATATGTTGAAGATTAAGTTTAATTAATATAGTAATGCCACTTGAACTGATAAGTTTTCTTAGGTAAAATGTTTTGTAGTCTTTGTTTTCGAACCTTGAAGGCTGTTATCAAGGAGCATAGACAGTACTGGGCATAGCTATAATATCTCAGCACTCGAAATCAATTTATTGATAAACAGAGTCTAATGCAGAATTTTTTTACATATTTCAGCAGCATTTTACTACTGATTTTTTACCTTCATTTATTTCTTCCCACTTTCCTACTGGCTCTGAGATACTGCATAGGAGACAACTTAGATAAAATTTATGCGGCTTAGAACTTGTTTCAGCAAACTGTGAGGCCGTTTAATTATGACGTATAGTTCTCCCATGTTTTTAATTACATTTTGAAAAACTCTACATTAAAAGTAATTTTAATGGGGCTCAGTTATGATACATATTATCAACGACTGACTTTTATTTTTTAAATATATGTAGCATTATATGTTATGTTAGATCCTAATACTGAGATTCATTGCATTTAAAGTTATGAATGTTTTCCAAAATACGCAAGATATCGTTTTCAAATATCGGTAATTCAAAGCTGCTGGTTTGATGGTGTGGTTGCAGCGGACGTGATTAGAGCGGATACATACGATGTCGTGGTCAGAGCGGACACTTCGAAACTCATCGTGGTTAGAGCGGACACATTTTTTCCCCATCTTGGAACAGATAAAGTTTGCAGATAAATAAGTAAATAAATACTTTTAAAAATCATAAATATAATTTAAAATAGTATTTAAGTGGCAAATCTCTTTTAAGTATGATAACTATTTTTTACCGAAGTTTTCTGTTTTTGCACTCGATTATCGAATTACAAGGCACTGGAATTAATCTTGGCATTGGAGTATGTCGGTATTTTAGTAACGAAATTATAACCTTTTTGATATAATGCTGATAGTTCTTCTTGAAATATTTGGGGAACAGGAATTGATGTTACATCTCGGACACTTTTTTTGCAAGTCTATAACTTCCTTTCAACTTTCATCTCAGCAATGTTGGGCACGCAGGAATGTTCAGTCTTCAGTACTTGGTATTGAAAATTTTTCTATACATTTCCTTTACAATGATCTGTTTTACATACCCAACTAATGCCTAGCTTATTTTTTCGGTGTAAACGGTGTGGCTAATCATCTACAACTAAACATTCTTTTTTTTTTTTTTGGAGAGAGTAATTTTGTTGAAATGGCTATGGGTTCCATCACATATTTTTTCGAGGCTATAAAACGACATACATACTTCGTAAGGATCAAACATCTACTGAGAAAATGTGAAAAACCTTTTCTCTTAAAATTATCGACTTATATCTACAGCAGGTGCAAAGCTCGAAACTACACAATAGATGACATGTGACTGATTAGGCAAATAACACAATAGGTGCAAGAATGTCCGCTCTGCCCACCAAGCTACCCTCACGTGTCCGTTGTAGCCACTGTCCGCTCTGACCACGTAGCCGCTGGTCTTTGCAGAAAGGGGGAAGTGAATGTATAATCTAAGTCTTTAATAAGTCGAGAATTTAGGTTATAGTGATCACTTATGTACACCTATTTAATTTTAATTTTATTGCTACTTTTCATATACGGTTTGATGGTCATAGAAGTTCACGTGTGTTTTGACACAATATTTCTCTTTTCTTTTAATGACAATCTTTTCCAAATATCCCTTATACAACTCCTTAAGTTTTTGCTACATTTACTTCAAATTTAATTTTAATTGAATTTAGACATTAAATCAGCAGCACCATAGTTGTCTTTAAATCTGACTAAATATCAGTCTTTAAAGCTGCTTATGAAAAAAATGCTTTTTAATAATTATTTTATATTTAGTCATTCAGTTAATTCAATTATCTACATCAACATATTTTTTCACATTATATTCTGGAATTTTTTCAAATTCCACAAGTCATTCAGTTTTCAGGAATGCGCTTTGTTTTGTGAAGGTATATTATTTGAAGAGAAGAGAGAAGAAAAATATACTTTTACTGCAGTAGATTATTATGTTATGAAACTTAAGTTATTGCACCAAAACATACAAGTTATTTTATGAT